ATAGACTTCTCCGATGATTCCTTGCGTCAGGCAATTCACGGCGAGTGTTTCCTCGACTGCAACTACAACGTGCAGGTCGGTCCCGGTGTGTGTGTGTGTGTGTAACCAAAATATAAGGATTCGGTTTGCTGACGTGATCCGAAACCCTGCACATGCGTAGGGGTCTTCAGGGCATACAGGGATATAGGCCGTCCACGGGACGTCGTGCAGGAGCGTACCTGTTTCAGGGTGGGTACAGGTGTGCTGGGCTTGGCTCGAAGACTCTAAAGCGACATATCAGCTTCTGAGTTCCACCCTTGAATCCTCAAAGTTTTGAGGTATGGTTTAGCGGCTCATAGTTCCATGATTTACAGAAATAATGAAACCCTGAATCCCCCATTGAAAATCAACATCCTTGACCCTAACCCCGCAGAGAGCCGTCTTAGAGTAGACCAGCTTGATCTAACCGACACCCGCCGATTGCTGGAGAGTACCTTCAAGTGTAGCACGAGACCAGCCACACCCATCACAGCAAGGTCGACTTGTTTCCGAGAAGATCGCTCTCTTTTTCTGTCCGGGCCTGACGTCGGTTTGCTGCGACTGCGACTCCTTGCTCGATAATCATACTGTGATAGTCTTTCTGGTAACCCTGTCAGGCAGACACCGTTGGTATCCAGCCAGTATCCTTCAATTGCTGCTTGACACCTTGAAGTGTAGCACGAGACCGGCCACACCCATCGCAACAAGGTCGACTTGTTTCAGCGACGACCCTGCTCGTCTTCTGTCCCGGCCTGACATCGGTTGTGTGCGGATTCCATTGCTCGCTGTTCAGAGTCTTTCTATCTTCAAGTGTATCCGTCTCGGCTGACCCCAAGACGCGGAGCCCAAATATTGTGGATAATAGCAGAAATCCGGCCTCTAATTTTCCATGGGACAACAGGAAGAAGAGCAGACATATGACCACCTCCGGAGGAAACACAAGTCGCGGAAGAACATTTCAAGGATTTCACAGTGGATCCAACGCACAATTTTCATAAAGTTTCGGCGACTCCCTTATGTGTCGGGGGCCGGGCCCGAACGCACAAAACCCATGGTTTGGACCTTTGCGTTGAGATTTCTGTGAAATCGGCCTTGTGCGTTTCAACGTTTTTCTTAACGCAAAGGTCCAAACCGTAGGTTTTGTGCGTTGGGGCCCGGGCCCCGACGCACAAGGGAGTCGCCGAAACTTCATGAAAATTGTGCGTTGGATCCTTGGGCCCCAGGACACATCAGGCTTGCGCCTCGGCTGCCGGAGAACAACTGCGAGCAATTGCTGCACACACTTATAAGCTGCTCAAAGTGTTGTCTGGGAAAAGGTTGCGCAAATCTTGCGCAACTTGCGCTCCACGCACCAAATCTGCACAAACTGCACGCTGGATTGACACGGGTGTTCTGGGTATGTGTGCGGGAACTGCGCGCGGAGTGGCCTGCACAGATTTGGCGCAAGCTCGGCCTTCAGACATTCACGGGGCTGCACGAATCGTGCGCAAGTTCTGTGCGGGGATTGTTTTACTCATACACAGACACACGTTGTGCTGCTCGAAGTGTATTCTGGAAAGATCTGCGCAAATCTTGCACGAACTGCGCTCCGCGCAGATTCTGCACACATTGCGTGCTGGATTGACATGTCTGTTCTGGGAATGTGTGCGAGAACTGCGTGCGGAATGGCCTGCAAAACTTTTGCGCAGTCTCTGCCCTCCGCATTGATGGGTCTGTTCAAATGGTGCGCAAGTTTGGGGCTCGGATTGTTGTAATTACTGTACGTCGTTCGCGAAATGTCTGTCTGCTGGTTAGATTCAGAGACATCGTGCACGCACCTTGCCATTTGGGTCGTCAGGTGCCATCATTCTGCACAATTTCTGCATTGAATTGTGTCTGCAGGAGGCCGTTCGGAAATGTTCGTGTGACAGGGGTCCTAGATGCCATGCTGTGTCCAGGCGACACAGCTCTGCCTCGCCCTCGGCCGCGTCCTCGGTTCCCAGCTTGCGTGTGGAGCCACAACTGGTCTGTCGCTTTGCTGACTTTGCCTCTACTTTGCAGCATGGCTTCCTGTCCCTTGCAAGATTCTGTTCAATTTTTCACAGGAGTAGTTGCCGGTGTAGCCCGGCTCCAGACCCCTGCGCTGCCATGGCGCCCAAGACCAGGAAGTCCTTGGGCAAAGCCTCTGAGACAACACCCAAGAAGGCGACAGCCAAGGATGCCTCAGGCAAAAGCACAACGCCCTCGGCGACTCATCCAACTGCTGCTTCGTTGATGTTTGACTACTATATATATATATATATTCATAAACCACATACATACAGATCTAGATATGCAGTGACAGAACTATGTGCAACCCGTATGCTGTAAGATGAGTATATACACGGCAGCTAACTTGATTCAACTGACATGACAGTTTCATGAACAACATTGCTAAAGCTAGTAGGTGTGGACCACGAGAACACAAAATACGAGTCCTACTAATATTTCTTGTGATATGACTGCTAATGAGAGTTCCTGTGAGAACAGCAAGAAGATCAGCAAGATTGACACTAAGCAATAAGGCAAAGAATCATATGCCGACTAACAATATCACTGGTAACAGCGATCAGAATGGGGTCAGAAGCAAAGCCAGCAGCAGCCATTGTAACGAGAAGAACAACAAGAACAGCAACATGATCAACTTTGAGATGATTTCAACAGTTCCACTCTCAGTGTCCACAGTTAGGCATGAGCAAACTGGTCATGGCATCAGCAAACTGGCCATACGTAGTTACAGAGTGGAAACGCCCTTGAAAACGGCTAGACGGTTTTTCTTGTGCATGTACACGTCTGCATGTCTTTAATATATATGTATATCTGCATAAGCATATGTACAAAGTTGTCCAATTACATACAATCATACATACATATACATACATACATACAAGCATACACACATACATACATACATACATGCAGACAGACACACATACATACATACATTCATAGACATATACATTCGTTCATTCATACATACATAATACAAATATGCACAGACAGGATACTGTCTACATAAAATTTAATGTATAACACACAGATATATATGTATATATATCATTATATCTATTGCACACGGTGCATGATGGTTGCAAAATGCAATTGCGCCGAGGTTGCCTTTGTGACCGAGATAGACAACACGATTGACAAGATTCTGAAGAAGGCCGTCGGCCTCGACCCCGTTGATCTCGGTGGGCTTCTTGTCCTGTTGATCAGACAGTCCCTCTTGCCATGCTAAGCTCATGAGCCTTTCTTCACTACCTAAGCTGAGGCTTCAAGGACTGGATGACGAGGACTTCAAGAAACAGCTCAAGAATGCTGCGACATACAAGTGCAACGTGTGTTTGGACTTTTTCACAAAAGACACTTTCGGTGGAACCCGCGTTCTCCCAACCAAAGGGAGCATAGTGCGGTTGGCCCAGCACTTCTTCTTTGACGACAGTGCCAACGAATGGTCATTGCCGCAGTTTTGGCCGGCACCGATCCCGGCTCCTAGGCTGAACAAGTGTAGTCTGGCGCCAGACGTCTCCAAGCCTCTGTTCGTTCTATCTGGCACAGGTCAAGGCGACCTCGCCCTCGACACCGCCCGTGAGGGGATATGTGGAGCTGCTCGGGTTTCTCGGCGGGGGTAAGTTTCTGGTTTGGGTGGGTGTGCAGAGTCTTGCTTCCCCTGATTGAAACAACGTTGCTTACCGCCAAGGCAGGAGGCGACCATTCATGCAGTCAAGTACGCAATCATGATGGTGATGAAGCAGCGCGGCGCAGATGCTGACTCCATGCCGAAGGAGTGCAATCGCCTCTTGAGGACTGTGCCGGTGTACTTCGTCCTCTGTCCGGACTCGTCCTCGGCCCAGCGGAAGAGGTGGGAGTTGGACTCGACAACTGCCGTCCTCGCAGATGAGAGGCTCCTCGTGGGGTTCAACTTGGTCTTGGGCGTGGCTGAGGTGTCGGAGAGTCTGGGGACCCCGTCGCGCCCGGCAAGTTTCGAAGATGTGGCATCGTGGCTCTCCAAGGCCAAGCAGAAGTCGATGTCCGTCGAGGTGGTGAAGACCTTCCTCCGCATCAGGAAGAGATTCACCGCTGAGGCAGTCGCACCTCGAAAGCAATGGACAGCATAGAGAGAGATAGACTTCACAGCATGTGCATGGGTCTCCATGTGTGTGGCCGCACGTGCGCGCGTGTGTGTGTGTGTGTGTGTGTGTGTGTCCGTGTCTAGGTTGATGCATGCATGTTTCGCCCGTGCACATGTGCGCGGGTCTCTTGCTTTTTTATTTGTGGCTGTTACTGCGCCTCTCTCTCCGTCTCTGTCTCTGTCCGTGTATCTATCTCTGTCTCTGTCCTGTCGCTCTCTCTCTCTCCCTCCCTCTCTCAGGTCTCTCTCTCTGTCTCTCTCTCTGTCTCTCTCTCTCTCTCTCTGTCTCTCTCTCTCTCTCTCTCTCTCTCTCTCTCGCTCGCTCTCTCTCTCTCACACTCTGTGTCTCAGTCTGTGTCTCTATGTCTTGGCGGCAAGGCTTGCCTACATACCTCTGTGTGTGTGTGTGTCTTTGTGTCTTTTTTGCACCTGCGTGCCTGCAGGTGTGGATGTGTGTGTGTGTGTGGGGCTGTGTCCTGGCATGTGAGATTATTAATTATCTGTTTGCACGTCTGTGCGTCTCTGTCTCTGTGTGGGTGTGTGTCTTTCTGGGTCTTGTCCACTCCATGAGTCCTTTCTGTGCCGAAAGTCGTGTACTGGTGGACCAAGGACCTCATTGTCTCCTTGGACTCCGCTGTCGGAGCGACGAAGCACGCCCTCGCCCACACCTCGCACCTCGAAATCATGGTGAGCAGGACTGCGTGTCAGAAGAACCCCGCAGTGGCCAGGGCCTTGGCAAGGTTTGCAGTCGCTGTCGCACACATGAGATACAGTATCTCAAGTAACTTGAGCCCGTCCTCGCAGGCCGATCGCCTGCTTGTCTGGGTGCTGAGCGACTATGTTCATTGCGTGACGGTGCTGAAGGTTCCGAAGTGTGATTTCAGTGATGCGAGACGTAGCAGAGCGAGTCTCCTAAGCCCTTTGCTTATCTGCTTGGTTTGTTCGACAGATTGGCGAAAGCTGGACGAGAACGGAGCTGACGAATCGTGTGGGTTGCGCCCTCGCCAAAAAGAGGCTGGTTGTTTACTTCCAGCAGAAATTCGGCAATGCGAAGTGCAAGGACAGGAGTCGTCTGGACGCTTTTGTTAAGGTCTCCACACCACATGTGTAACAACCGTTGTCTTTGCAAGCAATGCCGCCAGGACGGCTTCAAGTATGTGGCGAAACGAGCTCCGAACGAGGCGTCTCGGCTGAACGTGCGACGAAATCGGAAATGAAACTGCGAACCAATTTGCATGTCTCTGCAAGGTTCTCATGGAGGTTTTCGACTCGTACTCGTCCTTTTTCAAGTCGGGCCTCTGCAGCAATGCCATCGTCCCCGATGCGGAACACCTCGGATGGCTTCAGGATTTGCCCGACTACCTCAAGGCCTGGCCTTGCGCATGAGATTCTGCTGCAGTAGTTCTAGCTCAGATGAAAAGATGCCCGACCAACAACCCCTGTGAAGGAGATCATCGAGTTCCTGTCGGCGCTGCTTTCCGGGAGCCAGAAGAAGTACGAGGATGAGCTCCAGAAGTGCGTCGACGAGCACTTCTTGATGCCAGCTGAGAAGATCCTCGAGAAAGGTGACTTCACCTTGGACCTGGCCGCCCTCGCAGCGGCAAAGGCCGGCTCTGTCGTCCTCGCGACACCGACAGTGGAGCCAGAGGCCCAGGAGTCGGAGCCGGTCTCGGAGACTCCGCCTAGGCCGCCGCCGGAAGTTCCGGACGAGGTTGCCGTGCCCGAAGTGCCGCCGAGACCACCGAGGACAGCGCACTTCCCCGCCCTAGCCCTGTCCGAGATTCAGGCTGACGTCCTCGACCGCCTTCCCGACCATGCGTTCGAGTCCTCCTTGGCCTTTGCCCGGACACGTGTCTGGCCTGCTTTAAAACATGTGATTATTGAAGCTCATGGTCCATGTTATGTGCTCCTCCATTGTCCATTCATTGTCCAAGGTGCTAAGACAGTCCAGATCTGTGTCGACCATGCCCCTGTCCTTGACCCAGATGATGCTCGAAGCGTCCTTCACGTCATCGACAACAAGACTTTGGCGGTAAGCGACAACGAGACCTGCAAGCGCTACCCTTACAGGTTCTGTCCGGCTTTCGATGGCCACCGCTTGAAGCAGGCGATGATCTGGGTCTTGGGCGACAGCGAGAAGGGCAAACCCTGCGTGTTCCGGAGCGCTGACGCCCTCATCCTCTTTGACGGCCGTGGCCGGAAGTCGTCCTCCGAGCTGCAGAAGCTGATCAAGGTCCACGTGAAAAACGTGCCCGCTTCGGACCTGCCTGCGAGGAAGACGGAGGCCTTTCGTGTGTTCTACCACAACCGTGCCCTGCATGCATTAGCTTTGTGAGCGGATGTTTTTGACGATTCTCTGCTTGCACGATGGCAGCTTCGGACTTGCAGGCGAGTTCTTGGAGGACTCCGACTGCAGCTTGAAGAAGCGGTTTTCGTCAAAGGCGCTCCTGAATCAGCTGCCGGACCACTTGGAAACAGGAACCTTCGTCCTCGGCCGCGACTTCCGGAAGAGCTTGCCCGTGATCCCACGGCTCCACTATGATCGCCCGGGAACGTGTTAAGCCCAGTTTCCTAACATGTCCCAGACATATCCTGAAACCCTGAGCCCTCAACCTCGGCTTAAGACTTCATTGACTGAGGAACCAGCTGCGTGGCATGGCTGGCGTGGACTTGAATCAGGACGTGGTCCTCGTCAACAACAATGTCCACAGCAACATGGCCTCAGCAAGCACTGTCGAAGAGCATGGCGCTGCGGAGGCGACTGCGAAGGAAGCTGCCCCCCCGGCCACGGACGCGGCCGACTCGGGGACTGGCGAGTTGCTGTTCCCCTGGGAGTGGAACTCGCTCGTCTGGGATGAATTGTTCAACAGCTTCGCCCTCGACCCGGCCTCGTTGCACATCGTTCACTACTATCCTGGTACCGCTATCGGTGCGATCCCCGCCCTTAAGCGGAAGTTCACATACACATGCGCGGCTGGGCGAAATTGTGTTTGTTCCGCCTCAAACAAATAATAAACCCTAAAGCTTATATAAAAGACTAGAAAGCATCGTGTGAACTTAAAACTTAGACGGTATGTCACAGCCTTTGACTGGAAGAGTCTAATTAACCAAGGTTGTGGACTCCGAGATGCACAAGCAAGTGCTCCGAGAGATGATTTGTTACAAAATCGTCTCCGACCTCGCCCTCGGGGACAAGTCCTGGCGTTGTCGGAAATTGACAAGGGAACAGTCCCTCAGCGGATCAGTGCCGACTCCAGGCAGCCCGGCGGGCTCTACCGCGGCCTCGACCGCGCCCTCGACGGCAGCAGAGCCGCCGGGCAAGATCCAGAGAACCGAGGCGGGGAATGATGGAGAAGCAGATGGCGATGAGGACGAGGAACAGAATGGCAATGCTTCGGAGGAGGACGAGGCTGGCGAACTCTGAGCGGGTCCTCGACCTCGCCGGCACCCTCGCCGGCGCCCTCGCCTTGTCGGTCAATCTGTAGTGGCGTGGGCGGACATGGGCCGAACGCTTCGTGCCAGTCCAAGTGATTTTGGAAATCACAACCCAAACGCCCGCGAGTCTTGAAAAGAGGCATGTTTCAGTCAAGCGTTTCAGCCGAGATCCATGCAGCCCGAAGTGAGTAGTAGCCCCGCAGCAATGTAAGGTGAAGGTGGCCACAAGAAGGTGAAATGGAGGCGGTAGTCTCGGGAGGCATCTCTGTCGCTGAGCCCAAAGCAACCATGCAATGCAATGACACCGGCAGAGGATGAGAACGCGAACCAAATCAGGATTGGGGGGGTGGCAGAGAGGGGGTGAGTGGGAATAAGGGCCAGGGGCTTGCTTGTTGGGGCGCAGGTTGGGGTGCGGTGGTGGTGAGCCTATAGGGGATCCCATGAATGATCAGCATACACGTCTCAGCTGTGGTCTTCCATCTCTGAGCGCCTGAGGAGGCCTTGCTTTTGCACTGCTCCTAGAACCAATGTGTCCCTCAATGCATGATGCTGCCTTGCTGTGCCTCACTGTATCCGAGCTGGATTTTCGTTTGGGTCGAAGGCCTGGCTGGCTGTCGATCATAGCCGCAAGCTGCGAGCTGAGACACGGCAGCTTCCGAGTCTGGACTCGGGTTAGGGCTCTCATTGTCAAAAGGTCAGCGCCACTTTTCGGCGGCATGTGGTCCCAAAAGGCTCGGTTATGCCGCTACTGTTGAGGGGCCAAGCAACATGTGCGGACCACAGATGCTTGAGAGTTTCGCCCTCGTCCTGCCAACCAGTGTCTGTTCTGCTGAGGGGTCTCGACCTTGCCGTCTTCCGACAAGGTTTCGCGCATAGGCCGGGGAAATGGGGTTTACGGACGGCGAGCTGTTCTTGAACCACCGACTTGATCCCAGGCGCAGGAACTCGCAGTGCAGGTTCATCAGACATTGAGGCGGGAGATGCTGGGAACAGCATGGGTGCATTCTGAATTCTCAAAATCTGACATAAACAATGACATCATAGCCTAGCTCAGCTTGTACGTGCAGTGCTGTGTGGTTGAGGACATCCGCGTCAGCGAAACATTGGTGAAGAAGCATCATTCTCGAATGGTTGCCGCGTGATACTGTTCGCGGCCAGTGGCAACTCTGACTGATGAGGTGCTTATTCAAGAGCAGTCGCCCTCGTTTCAAAACTTGTGGAAGAGTGCGAAGTATAAGAAACTGAAAGCACCAACTCTGCAGATACAGTTTCTTGCTTCTTGCAGGCAGTTGTGTCACTCAGCACTCATGGCCTATTTCACTTCCCTGTGTCGACAGTCTAGTGGCCGACTGCCGAGTCCCGTCGAGGGTGAGGATTCGCAATCGTTATTCTAAGATACTGCCGGCTGCTTCAACTGCAAGCATGAACGGACCATCAATCGCACGTTTGCCGCAGCAGTGAGGGCTTCAGAAAACCTCGTGCCCTACTCCACTGCATTTTGTTGTGTAGAAACTACCATGGTCAGCAGCGGCAAGGCCCAGGCGTCAAAAGGCTCAGTGAAGAAGGATCGAGAAGCTAAATCAGGCTGCGACGAGGCCAAGTTAGCTGCCGTGTCGCCCTCGCCCGACTCGTCAAAGACCACGCCCTCGACCCCGGCAAAAAAACCAACGGCTTGGGACCTGCGCGTGCAGAAACTGAAAGCCGCCATCACGGAAGAGTTGGAAGAGAAGATGCGGAAGAAGTATTCGCTTAGGTTGAGGGGAATGCGTTTGCGGTGGAGGGCCAAGCACCTGGAGATGATGACACAGCTGCATCGCATGGAGAACATGATGAGCGACATGGCGTCAAAAATGGACAGCTTCGTGGCCAAGGTGGAGGAAGAGGTTTTCTTCGGAAACGCTCCGGGATCCAGCCCTAGCCTGTCGTCAAGCAGCGATGATGACGAGGTCCAGGACAAAGAGTATGATAACTTCATCTCCGATGTCACAAAAGAGGAAAAACGCCAGGACCAGGACGGTGCCAACGCCCTCGTCCACACGTCCGACCTCGTCGAGATCCCAAATGAGCATGTGAAATCCGAGCCTGCCGAGTGAGCAGAGTGAGGCTGACTAGATGCCTGAGATTAGCATTGGGGCTACAGCTCAGGAATTTTGAAAGGAAAGGTGCTTCACATGTGTGTTGTGACAGAGCGACAGTGAAGAAGACGACAGCATTGCCTATTGCACGGAAGTCGATGGTCTCCTGTCCGGAACCTTTGGGCTCAGTTTGGATTTAGATTATTCACGTCGGATCGTGTGTGCCGGTGCGTACACCGACTCCATTTTTGCCATGACTGGAGCACAGACTACAGCAGAAGCTTCCGCCCTCGCTTCACTGGCATCAGGTCCGTCCGTGCGGTGCATCGATAGGACATGTATTATCAGTCTTTTTTGCGGCGGTTTCCTCGCTTTGTTTTCGTTATGATGTTACTGTGCCCGTCAGTGAAAGGCAGCAACAACCCTGCCTTCAAGAAGCTGACAGACGTGGAGAGCTCTTGGGTTCAGGCCGAGCCCAACGCCGACAAGGCCAGGGATATATGGCCATGTGCAGGATGTTGGTGTAGAGGACTTTGGGTTCATAGTACGTATGCGTCCAGTCAGAAAATGTTGCCTGTGAGTGCATGCTTCTTGTGAGGCTGGCTTGATGCTGGTGCACTTTGGACAAGCATCAGGCGAGACTGTGTTTCCGAAGTCATTCCTGTGTCGCCGGGTGGAGGGGTTGATTGAAGTGGATTCGATTCTTATCCTGTGAGTTAATTTCACAGCACGAGCAACAGGAAAGTCATCGAAAAGTCTGCAGACTCGGCGGCTGAAGCTTGGACTGATTCGCAAAGACGGCAAGGGTGGAACGGAAAGCTGGACGGTGGAGAAGCGCTTTCCGAACCTGCAGAAAGCTATGCTAAAACTGTTCAAGAAGCAGCAGGGTCCTGAGACTGTGTGCGTGAGTTTGGTCTCTGTCTAAGCAGTCTGAACACAGCCGCCAAATGATGTCAAGTGATCTCTTCGCAAGGTCCTCGCCACTCGCCCTCACATCTCTGACGGTGTTCATCAATCCAGTTGCCGGGGAGAAAGGGATCTTCATTCCAGGCCGATAAGTTCGCAGCAGTACCAGATGCCTTTGACGCCGTCCAAGAGTAATTTGAATTTCGTGAGGTTGCAAGAAGGAGCTGCGCTCGTGCATTATGTTCGGTGCCGGGAAGGGCACGGATTGGAAAGAGGATCAGGAAGCAGGCTCTTGGTCTTAGCTGTGTTCCAACTGTGGGGATTCTGGACTGACTGTTTGGTGTTGTTCATGCTGGGTCCAGGCGAGCTTTGGCAATGCCACGCGCTTCCTGAAAGCAAATCAAGACGACTGCAGGTCTTGAACAAGGCAGGACCCACAGTGGATGATGGTGCAATCGCAGCTGGCTAGTAATCCTAGCTTCTGTTCATGTTTGTTTGAGGATTGGTCACACTCACAGTGACGATGCCTTCTTGTCTAGAACACCGGGTAGCAGCAGTTTCCACTTCCCTGACTGTTTGCCGTCCAAGCGCCGCATGATTAAACTTCCCTGACTGGCAGGCACTCGTCCTCGATGGCCGGCACCCTCTGACGTTTCCGCAAGTCAATGGTTGCCTCATCTACGTCCTCGGAAAGAACATCAGGCAGACGGGGCCCGGCGACGAAGTCCTGCCCACCAAGATCGTGCAGGATTTGCAAAGCCTCGGGTACGATGGCGGATCAACGACGATTGATAAGTTAGATTGCTACATGGATCTCTTGGACCACAAGACAAAGAAGTCCATGGCCTCGAAAGTCTGGAGGTCATTGAAGTCCCGCCCAGCAGCGAAGGTCAAGGTATGCCCGCACTGCGGCAAGGAGGCAGGGTCACGGTATTGTTGCATGCGCGCTTCCATCAGTGTCAGCATAGCAGCACCTGCCCTGCAGGTGACAGTGGCGGCGGCGAAGAAGAAGCCGGACGAAGAGATCGCCCTCGCCAAGGCCCACGTCGGGAAGGCGCCACCGCCCTCGAAAGCCCCGCCCTCGAAAGCCGGCGGAAAGAGATAGGCGGTTTTTTTCATGGATGGCCCGCAGAGAAACTGCCCGGCCAGCGCTGTTTTGACAAGGCGCTCGTGGATGCTTCGCCGGAAAATGTGAGAGCAAGTGTTGCGAAGTCCGTGTGAGCACTAGTCAGTTGACGACAGCTCTGAGCCTCTCTGTTGGTGAGAGAGAGCATCCTGTTGCATTCGCCGCTGCCACAGGTGATTGCCCTGCATGCGGCCAACGGCAGGACATACAGGGCCGGCATCCAGTAAATTCAACTTCTTCTGCCAATAGACCCTAAACCCTAAACCCTAAAAAACCCATCCTGGATTCCTAAGCTGCCGGGGCACTTGCTTGAAGTGTAAGTTGAGGTTTCGGACAGTGTGAGC